ATCCTCTCCAGGGTGCGGTTATCTCTCTTGCTTGTACACTTTTTTCGACCACATCTTTTCCTTCCCTTCGCCTCTCTATTAATGTGCTTGGACACTGAGCTCTGTGAACAGCCAGCCTCTTTAGCGATGACCTTTTGTGTCTTGCCCTCCTTGTGCAAGGTGTCGATGGTCGTCTTTTGGACAACTGTCAAGTCAGCAGTCTTCCCCATGATTGTGTAGCCTATACAACTAGACTGAAAGACCATTTAAAGGCTTTTGCAGGTGGTTTGAGTTAATTAGCTGATTAGAGTGTGGCACCAGGGGCCATCAATTTTGAACCTTTTCACAATATTCTAATTTTCTGATATGATGAATTTGAGATTTTCATTTGTTGTCATTTGTAATCATCAAAATTAAACAAAATAAACATCTGAAATATATGAGTTTGTATGTAATGTATGAATATAATATACAAGTTACACTTTTTAAATGGAATTACTGAAATCAATCTACTTTTTCATGATATTCTAATTTTATGACCAGCACCTGTAGAAATAAGTCAAAATTTTTCAAATTACGTGCATTTACCCTTAATTTGAGTAGGTAAGTGAGATAGTTTGCCAATGGAAAGAATGCTTTTACTCTTAAAATAAGATATTTAGATAAAATGCACTTGAAATAAGACGATGCAATTGTGTTTTCTTATTTTAAATGTAATTTGTCTTGTTCCATGGCAAAGTGGATCTTTTTCCTCCTCAATCCAAGAAAAATTGCACTTATTTTAAGAAATAATGACTTATCTAGGTTTAGATTTTTTCAAGTGCAGCAGCACCTTCCCACCTGATCTCAAAGAAATTAAGAGGGAAGAAATCAGATGGATAATTTGTCTGAGCTTAAAGGAATAGTACACCCAAAACATGATTAGCCTTCATTTTCTACTCACCCCCATGCTGAACAACACTCTGGAGTACTTTTTTGATATCTCAAATGCATCTGGAGATCTGGGAGGCTTCTTGCTGTCTGCTGACATTCAAATAATGGAGGTCTATGGTGCCCGAGACAGAAAGGTCCATAAAAGTCCACAAAAAACGTGTCAATATTCCTCCATACTGCTCGTCCAATGTATTCCAAGTGTCCTGAGTGGGTAGCATCCAGAATTTACTCGAAACGAAGTTATTTAGAATGTTTTTAGAGCATAAACAGTAGTGTATAGGATTTCCTGAAAGCGCGCACATGCGCGTTCACGAGCCTACGGAAGCCGGCAGACCAAACCAGCGCATTCAGCTCGGCAAAGAACTCATGCTCTTCCTCAACACTGAAGTCCTCAGACATTTTTCTTTCGTTGTTTCTTTCTTTGCACAGGTAAACAGCACATTTCTTCTTCTACGCTTGCATTATTGGCAGAGCAGACACTGAATGCGCACTTTCATCTGGTTTGGTCTGCCGGCTTCCGTAGGCTCGTGAACGCGCATGTGCGCGCTTTCAGGAAATCCTATACACTACTGTTTATGCTCTAAAAACATTCTAAATGACTTCGTTTCGAGTAAATTCTGGATGCTACCCACTCAGGACACTTGGAATACATTGGACGAGCAGTGTGGAGGAATATTGACACGTTTTTTGTGGACTTTTATGGAGCTTTCTGTCTCGGACACCATAGACCTCCATTATTTGAATGACAGCAGACAGCAAGAAGGCTCCCAGATCTCCAGATGCATTTGAGATATCAAAAAAGTACTCCAGAGTGTTGTTCAGCATGGGGGTGGGTAGAAAATGAAGGCTAATCATGTTTTGGGTGTACTATTCCTTTAAAGAGCAGGGAGGCAATTCTGGCCATGACGGTAATTATTCATTTTAGGCAAAAATTGTATTCCTTATGTAATTAGCCTGATTTTTCAACTATATGACATGTTTATTGCTTCAATTTAGATCATTTAGCCCAGATAACTGTCGTAAGCCAAGAGCTACTTCGCTAAAGGTCAAAATATAGATGTTTTTTCTTTATCATTTAAGTAAAAATAATATTTAAAAAAATAATTCTCCAAATGTGTTCACTGTAATTGTTGTCTGATAAATTTGATGAACATAAATTTGAGGACATTTACAGACAAGGGATCTGCAACCTGTTCCTATGGGGCCACATGTGGCTCCTCAGGCACTTCAGTATAGCTTCTAGATTTTTTCCCCGCACATAATAGTAATAAAAAGGGATATTCTCTATCGAAATTATGCAATATCTCCGTAGATATTTCACAACAGAAATACACTAAGAGCCATTTTGTGTTTGATCTTATTTACACTATATTTCTTTCTGGATTAAAGGGAGAAAGTATTATTTCATCCCAGGTTTGACTAATATAATTGCTGTGCTTCCAAAGAAACTATAAAAAAAATAATTTTATAATTTCTTCTAAAAACAGAATAAAGGTTTCAAAAACTACAAATGATGTTTTATGGAATCTCCGATCAGTGTAGAATGATCTGGTTTAACTCTGACGAGTCTAAACATGGAAGATCTTGAACAAGAAAAGTTCCTTTTAATCAAGAATCCTGAAAAGAAACATCAAAATGCCCCACTAAATGAAAGCAGCACCATAAGAATATGAATCAGTTTACCAAATCCTGGTGTAAAGAAGTAATTTATTGCAAGTCATACAAAGTGGCCACCACCAGGAGAAAACCTGGCTTTAATAATGCCTCATGGTTTAAGGCTTATTTACACCCACCTAATTTTAAGTAATCCTTGCCAAATATAGAAGAAAATAACTAAGGAACTGTAAGCCCAAATTACATGTGTGATACATAATTTGAAAGCTAACACACATAAACGCTAGTTTATGAAAATATAAATGGAAATAGTGTGACTAAAATTAAGCCCAAACTGCAGAAGATAAAACATGACTAAAAGTTGTCTTGTTCTTCCAAAAAATAATAGACCTTCCTTGAATAGCAGTAACAAATACATGTTTGACAATAGGCATGTTTCATTGTATTACATTTATTCTGCATTATGTCAACCACAGCTGTGGAAAATCTCCGATCTCTAGGTATAACAGTTCCAGAGCTATGAGACTTTTAACCTCTAGAGTCACCAGCGTCTCCAAACCTCTCCAAATGTGCCAAATTATTCCAAATTGTCCTTATTGCTTTTACACAACAATGTTACCCCATAAATCACACTGAAGCATTTTGATGGCTACAAAGTTTTTTTGAAAGAAATATTTTTCAATTTTCCATCTAATTTTCTAACAGATTGCAATGATCCAGTCACTAGTCTGCCTGTGTGCCGTTTATGCCTTGCAATATCTCTGGGCTGCACAATTCAAATTAGCCATGCTTACCCTTGTTTTAAAGGTAATTTAATTAGCTCTAGTGCCAAACATTGCCTGTAGACTTAACCAATAGCAACCGGACTTTATGAGGATAATATGAGGGGAAGCATGCGTAAAGAAGGCGACTAAGAGGGAGCGCTTGTTACACTTCGAGGGCTGCCCCGGCATCAAATCTAAAAAAATAATTGACAGGGACACTTTTTATTTGAAGGCTGAAAGGTGATAACAACAAACATACCAAAGATCAACCAAGAAATGTTTTTGAGAAGCTACGGTAATTAGCAAGATGGTTAGCATTAGTTATAAGGATATAACTTTTCTAAAGGAAAAAAAATGATTTTATGTGTCCATTTTCTCATCATGAAATGTTTTTATTACTAATATACTGGTTTAGTATGTATTGGTGGACTTTAACGGAAAAATTGAATATAAACAATCTGCGATTGGATTAATAACACGGCCTGAGGATAACTTCAAAGGTAGAATGAAGAAGGTTTGCTTTAAAAATTCTGATTTATCAATCTGCTATATCTTTCTTAATTGTGCTTTTATGCTCATGGTGTCTATAAAATTAATTTGGCAGTTGAATTGTGGAGAATCTGAGCTTTCTGAAGATGTATAACAGGTCTATAATGGTAAAAGTTTAACCAGTGTTATTTTCAAGCACAATGCTGCATTTAATGTAAATATACAAAACAGGTCGCCGGCGACCAGGTTGATGTTATTAATGTTTTAAAGAGTAACTACTCTGAAAGGAACCGCACTGTTCATTCTGGAGCCTTATCTGCAGGAGAGGATTGTCATTTGCTTAATTTCAGCTTTGAGCAGAAACTGAAAGGCTGTTATCATAGATGATTTCATGATTGAAATGCTGCAAGGATCAGACTTTCATTGTTTTTGTGTCCTTGGGCCAGACTTTTTTACCTAAATTGCCTACTGATAGTGGTCAGAGGGCCTAGTAGCGCCAGTGTACAGCAGCCTTGCTTCTTTCTGTCAGTGAGTCTCAGGGCAGCTGTGGCTACAATCTAGCTTGCCACCATCAGTGTATGTGTGAATGGGTGAATGAAAAGCGCTTTGGTCATGTCCTCTGACTTGAAAAAGGGCTATATAAGTACATGCAATTTACAATTTACATTTACTTTCATCAAAGTTAAACTGCTGTGGAAAGGATCCACGCCTGTGCAGAACAGAATTAAGGAAGAGAAACAATAAATGTGAAAAATATTGTCTATTCTGCACTGAACCCGATTGATTCTGAGAAAGATTCAGTGCGAACAACATTTTTATTCACTCTGATGTAAAACTGGAGCTTTTTTAAAAGAAAAGATGTCAAACATTAAACCCCACGGCCAGATTTAGCTAACAATATTGTCAGGGTGTCATTTACTTTTGATATCGTAAAAACTTCCAAAGGCTTTGTTTTTTGCATAGATTTTTAAATGTGAAAAAAATTCTATTTTTTTTTAAAAGGCAGCTGCAGCATTTCTTAGAACAGAAGGCTTTTATCAGCCTAAGATGCTAAATAAAATAACAGATGAATGTCACAGTGTCTCTATATCTCAACCTGTTAATTTAAGACAAAGAAAAATTTAAGAAAAAAAATAAATAAATAAACAGTCCAAGTTAATGCACAGCTGAATTTCAAGGTGATGGCACTGTGTCTCCTCTATCACAAGTCCTTAGACAAAGTAAATCATAATTACTATATTTTTATAGTACGAAACATGGTTTATAGAGTATAAAACAAATATAAGAACATGTTTGCAGTCTATGTCTGAATCAGAGTTCTCTGGTACCATGTTTTTCACATGATTTTGAGTCACAATGAAAGCTGTTCCTGGTCCTCATCATCACAGCAGCTGATTGACCCATCTGTCCCAAAGTACCGGTCCCCAAAGTCTCCTGTAAACACACAACAATAAACTCATGGCAGCCAGAGTTACTGATAATGTCAATAAGGAGAGGTATTTAATGAATAACAGGATATCAGAAGAGGCAGAGCACAGAGGCAATTTAAAATAAATAGATATACTAATGATTTGGATTGCTCTAAATTAAAAGAGACTACCAAAGCAAAGGTCTTTATGATGTTCTAACATAGTAATAATCTTGAAAAAATATCCTGGTTTTACTTTATGAGTTGACATTCATGAAAATACCTATCTTTACCAAATGTGGTATAAAAACAGCATTATGTTAAAAAAGAAAAAAGCAACAGGCAGGGCTCCTTTAATTTCCTTAATCTGACCACTTTTTGCAACTGGGAATAGTTAATAATAATAATAATTCATTTAATTTATACTGCACTTTTCACCAAAAGGCCTCAACGTGCTACAAAAAAAGCATTTAAAAAATAAATACATAGAAATAAAAGAAATAAAATAATAAATAATAATCAAAGCTGTTTTAAAAGAGAAAAAAAGAAACATCTAAGTTTCATCTTTCATGAGCAAGTAAAAGAGTCAGTAGCCTGCTTTTAGTTAACAGACCATCAGTGTGCAAAATGCTTTGAATTTGATTAAAATAGTTATCTCTTAATATTAGGAATGTTTCAAATATTTCAAGATTTAGTCGACAACGACTGAAGGTCTCACACTGCAAAAAAAAAATAAAAAATCTAATTAAGTCAATTTTTTCTTCAAATAAGAGCATTTCTTCTGGAATTCAGCAGGTAAGTAAGACACTTTGCCAATGGAATAAGGCAATTTACATTTAGAATAAGAAAAACTAAGTGCAGTCTCTTGTTTTAATTGCATAATATCTGATTTATCTTATTTTAAGGGTAAAAGTACTCATTCTATGGATGGATCCAACCATCTCAAGTTAAATAGGCTAGTTTTAGACTTAAAAGAATTATTATTCAAAGCCTTAAAAATATGTATTAAAATGATAATTTAATGCCAAGTATGAAACAAGGTGGTATTACATTATTACCCAAACAAGGTAAAGACAAAAGATATATCGATAATCCAAGGCCAATAACTTTAAAGAATGTAGATTATTATTATTATGTATTATTCACCCTTATCTTCTCCAATCTATAGGAAACTGCTCATTTTGAAAAGGAAAAAATGTATTTCACATATTAAAAATACCTTATTCAGACAAACTAATAAATATCTGAATGGCCTGCCATAGCCTGTATTTATCACCATAACATTACAGGGGAAATCTATTTCACTGGTTGAGGATAAAGGATTTCTCATTAAGTGAAATCTCAGAGAAGCGCATCTGTCAGCAGGTGAAGATGAAGCACAAAAAAAGGTAGGACCTGTGTATCTTCTCATGGGGTTCCTCCTCAACTGATTTCCTTCTTCCATTACACAGTAAATACTAAGTGGCTGTATCACTGCCCAGTTGTTTCCATAATGCTATTATCACACTGTGCCCAAATTTCACATCAATGTTCACTCACAGATATCAAGTTCTGATATTTTCTGAATATACAGCACACTATACGCAGTCTGAGAACCCTCTCTATATTTAATTATATATGAATTAATGCAGTTCATTGTTTGATTGGATACTCAAAAGGACATGCTTTCAACACCTTATGTCTTTAACGGACCTACTGACTGATTTTCTTTTTATTGTTTGCTCAAAATTAGAATAGGACTCAGCTGACTAAATTAGAAAATAAAACAATCTTTGGTTTTAAGGAGGGCGAAGACCGAGGATGCAGAGTTTATTGAGGAAAACCTGCTGCTGAGCAAGTTAGCTGATGGAGAATGTTACTACGGTAACAGAAACAGGGGTCCAGGAAACTATCTTTGTGAAACGAAAAACTCAGAGTTTTCCTGATTTGAGGTTTAGAAAACTTAGAGTTTTCAGAAAACCTGCTCCTGGAAACGGGTCTCAGCATATGTTCTACATATTCAGGATGGCTTGATGGTTAGTGTCCTCTATTTTGCTAATGTTACAGATTCAATGCTGTATGTGCCCTGCTTTTTAGATCAGCTTTACTCAAACCATGAGATTTGCAGGTGTTGTGCAAGCAAACCCTGATTAAATCAGGTTTTTTTTTAAGGGTTTATACATAAATGAGTAACTCTTATTTAATTTATTTTTAATGCTCTTAGAAATAATCTTAATGCCATCAACAAGTACCCATGACTTAAATATATATATATATATATATATATATAGTATACGAAGCCATATAAGTGCCAGTTTGTTCAATGAGTCAAAAGTGAGATCTAGTTGTGGCCCCTGCTGTTGTCCGAAATTGCTTTTAAAATTGCTTAAAAAAATTATTAAAATAGCATTTTCAATATGTTTCTTTTTTTCAGTATCTATTGTTGCAAGGCTCTGAAATGCATAGATTTCTGACTTTTAAAGGGAAACAACCAACTTCAGCTCCATTATTCTGACTGAAAGCTGAACCCTTAATCAACTACAAATGTTGTCGATTGACATTACAACTAATGTCGAAGCCACATTTTGATTTAATCCTTGAATCTTGCCTTAATTAATATTGCGCTTCATATTGGTAACGGTAACTGATATGACAAAAACTTACTTTCCCTTACTTTCATTTTTGAGATAATGTTAGGTTGAAAAATGTTTATTTTTTATTTGGGTATTGAACACATACTATGTGCTGTTTTAGCTTGTTCGTATCCTATTCAGAGAGTGTAACACATAACAAGGGAAAAATGAATGAAAAACAGCCTTTTGACCTCTTTTGCTAGATGTAAATTATGTGTACTGTATATACGTCATTCTAAACAAGCCTAAAAAGAAATTGTTTTTTTTTAAGGGTTTATACATAAATGAGTAACTCTTATTTAATTTATTTTTAATGCTCTTTTAATGCTCTTAGAAATAATCTTAATGCCATCAACAAGTACCCATGACTTAAATATATATATATATATATATATACGGCAAAATCCTTCATCATCTTCACCGTGGACAGGCTGCAGCCATGTCCCGAGTTCCTCATTTTCCCGCCACTTTGGTTCAAATTTGCATTTTTCCCATTCTCTAGCCTTTTCTCCCCCTCAAGCTTATTTTACGAAGCCATTTTAATGCCACGATTATCAAATTTAATGAATTTTAATGCCAATTAAATCCTTAATTTAAAAAAGAATAATTTAATGACTTTTAATGATTTTTAATGACCCACTGTTTTTGCAAGTCTCACATTTCACAATATAATCAGTCTGGGTTTTACTTAAAGGAATAGTACACCAAAAACAGGATTAGCCTTCATTTTCTACTCACCCACATGCTGAACAACACTCTGGAGTACTTTTTTGATATCTCAAATGCATCTGGAGATCTGGGAGGCTTCTTGCTGTCTGCTGACATTCAAATAATGGAGGTCCATAGCGCCCGAGGCAGAAAGGTCCATAAAAGTCCACAAAAAACGTGTCAATGTCCTGAGTGGGTAGCGTCCATAATTTACTCGAAACAAAGTCATTTAGCATGTTTTTAGAGCATAAAGAGTAGTGTATAGGATTTCCTGAAAGCGCGCGCCTGCGCGTTCAGGACTCTACGGAAACAGCGGCAGACCAAACCAGATCAAAGTGCGCATTCAGTTGGCAAAGAACTCATGCTCTTCCTCAACACTGAAGTCCTCAGACATTTTTCTTTCGTTGTTTCTTTCTTTGCACAGGTAAACAGCACATTTCTTCTTCTACGCTTGCATTATTGGCAGAGCAGACGCTGAATGCGCACTTTCATCTGGTTTGGTCTGCCGCGGTTTCCGTAGACTCGTGAACGCGCTTTTAGGAAATCCTATACACTACTGTTTATGCTCTAAAAACATTCTAAATGACTTTGTTTCGAGTAAATTATGGACGCTACCCACTTAGGACACTTGGAATACATTGGACGAGCAGTATGGAGGAATATTGACATGTTTTTTGTGGACTTTTATGGACCTTTCTGTCTCGGGCGCTATGGACCTCCATTATTTGAATGTCAGCATACAGCAAGAAGCCTCCCAGATCTCCAGATTCATTTGAGATATCAAAAAAGTACTCCAGAGTGTTGTTCAGCATGGGGGTGAGTAGAAAATGAAGGCTAATCATGCTTTGGGTATACTATTCCATTACTTAAGAGAGTTAAACTAAAGTGCCATGATGCCTCGCATCCTCAATGAGTCCATTTATAGTTAAGCTTTGTCACAAAATCTTGCTTTGCATGAATAATTAACTAAGATCTAAGACACAGGGTGGATGAAGGGAAATGCAGGAACATTGTATCTGCTGTCAAATGCTTTATTTGGCTCAGGAAGAAAGAAACGGCAGCAGCTGAAGCCAATTAGTGCAGCTTAACATACAGAGCTGACATTCAGAAGGTGCTATTTTTTATTTAACGTAATAAATGTTCATCAGCAGATTCTTTATATAGATATAAAAGAGAAAATGCTTTAGAAGAAAAGCTTTTCTTACCTGATAAACTTCATACATGAGTAAATATCTGTATTTACTTTATTGTGTTACTAAAAAAAAAATCAAACAAAAAACTTAATGCTGACAAACAACACCCACAGTCACCTCTGTGGTCTGGCTGTTGACTTCTATCTATTCAATGTGTGGCATTAACTGCTGTATGAGACCTCACCCCTTTTAAGCTTTAGTTTATTACACTTAATGCAGGATTCTCTATATTTTCACAATCTTGGGGCAGAAAAATATGTTTTACTGCAAGGGGAGCCTTGTTTTTCACACATATTATTGTTGCAATTTAAGTGCCAGTTTGTTCAATGAGTCAAAAGTGAGATCTAGTTGTGGCCCCTGCTGTTGTCCGAAATTGCTTTTAAAATTGCTTAAAAAAATTATTAAAATAGCATTTTCAATATGTTTCTTTTTTTCAGTATCTATTGTTGCAAGGCTCTGAAATGCATAGATTTCTGACTTTTAAAGGGAAACAACCAACTTCAGCTCCATTATTCTGACTGAAAGCTGAACCCTTAATCAACTACAAATGTTGTCGATTGACATTACAACTAATGTCGAAGCCACATTTTGATTTAATCCTTGAATCTTGCCTTAATTAATATTGCGCTTCATATTGGTAACGGTAACTGATATGACAAAAACTTACTTTCCCTTACTTTCATTTTTGAGATAATGTTAGGTTGAAAAATGTTTATTTTTTATTTGGGTATTGAACACATACTATGTGCTGTTTTAGCTTGTTCGTATCCTATTCAGAGAGTGTAACACATAACAAGGGAAAAATGAATGAAAAACAGCCTTTTGACCTCTTTTGCTAGATGTAAATTATGTGTACTGTATATACATCATTCTAAACAAGCCTAAAAAGAAATTGTTTGACTTTATCTGAGATCATTAGGGTGAAGATACCTCACCTGGCAGAAATATGTATACTTGGTATATATCCAAAGAACTGTACTGTCACTCCAAACAAGTCAACTTTAATTGATTTTTTTACTCCTGCATAAGGAGGATGATAGCTCTGTCCTAGAGAAAAATGGATGTGCCCTAGATGCATATGTGGATAAAGGAGATGGCATCATGTGTTATGTTGAAAAGACTGACTTATATAACCAGGGGAAGAGTTTGAGACTGTATACAATTAATAAAGTTTTTTTAAACGTCAAAGTGCTCAGACAACTCAAAACTGCTGCACTGATATGCTTTGTTGACAGCTTGTGTTTTATTAAGTTTTATTTACTTTGTTAAATGTGTGAAGTATGTGAATATTTTCTGGAAATTGTTTCTGTTCATTTAATGGATGTTATTGCTTTGATTACTGTCTCTTTGTACAAGTAAAATATATTTATAAAACTCAATAAAAATATAGTTGAAAAAAAACAGCCTAAAACTAGAAATAAATATATGAACAGAGCAGTAATTAAAAGTGTAGTTGCTTACCGATACCAGGAATGACGTGGAAGAATTGGTCCAGGTCCTTGTCCACAGCAGTGGTAATGATCTTAACCTTCGGGAAGGCGTACGCCACAGAGTGCACCCCAAGTTCAGCCATCAGCAGGGACACCAACATGATGTTGTCTTCCTGTACCTCGTGATCCTGCTCAGCCACACGCATTACAGATATATAATGTCAGTGGCTTATTTGTAATTATTATTAAAGACCCTTCTAGTGAGGAATATCTGATATTATATTTCTAAAATTCATCAAGTAAGAATAAAAACACTTAATAATTGCACAGAAAAGCAATAATTTAGGTCTCACTGCTGCCTAAATCAGGGAGGACAAAGCAAAGCTTATCTTCACCCACCAACAGGACTCGCACCGCCATCATGGCTGCGGCGCCCGTGGAGACTGTGCTGTCCATTAGGATGACGTGATCCTCGCTGATGTCTTTAGGCAAGCGCAAGTAGTGCAACTGGCCGGGCCAGACCAGAGGAGGCCGGTTACCATGGTTACAGGCACAGGACAGGTAGTTTCCACGGAGACAAGCATCACGAGGAAGAACATTTTTTAAGAACAATGGTGGAGGTCATTTTGAGACACTGTGTTGAATAGCAAAGAGGGCCAGGTTGGGTCGAGGCGTCTGATACCTCTGGCTCGCCTGAGTCCAGGTTGGTCTGAATGAGGATTTTCCCGATGCGGACGTCCTTGCACACGGCCCTCAGCGCCGGCTCCATGGTCTCTCCTGCCCTTAGGATGGACACGCCGGTAATCTGTGGAGACGAGGGGAGGGAGTGATTGTAATGAGAGGTAACAGTCAACATGGGGCTAACAGAACATTACTCACTCCTTTCCCATTGTAGCTGCGGCCCTCGTACTCTGAGCCCTGTGGAGTCTGAACCACACAAGGCTGCAAAAAAAAAGAAAACATATGTAATTTTTTTGGCTGACACTAGTAATGTTCAGACATTTATTATGTACCCCAAGTAAGCCTCTAAAGTGGTTTTTTACTCAAGATGTCTTCCAGTTTTTTAAAGATCTTTCACAATTTCTGGGGGCTTCGATGCCTTTTCTTTTTTGTGTGGAAAATTCGACAAAACAGACTTACTTTAACTTGATGCAACAGGTCTTATCCATGAATGACATCCACACTGACTAGGTCTCGGTAAAAAAATCGATTTAATTGATTTTGATTCGAAAATGGATTTCTAGGGAATTAGACTAGAATTATGAGCAGGAAAGATGCTCTCAAGATGACTTCAAGCCAGACATCTGCAAATATAGCCATTAGGTTGACTGAAGACATTAACAAATGGGTGCTGACCAGAAAACACCCTGTAGTTGTTACAGAAAACGCAGCAAATATTGTTTGTGCAGTGGAGATAATGCAGCTCATGCATGTCTGCTGTGTCCCCGCTGTGTCACGTCTGCTTGCTTGATTGAGGCTTCCGTTTTTCACTCTTCACAAACAAGTTTGCATTTCAGAAACAGTTTTGTTCACATCACAAGTTTGCACTTTGTGTTTTATGTGACAGGGAAAAAAATTAAAAACATGAGCATTTTGAAACACAGTTGTACCACTTTCATTATTGTAAAAACAGTTCGAATCACATTAATCGATTTAGAACTGTATGAATCAAAATCGAGTCGATTCAGGACTTTGGCGAAAATACCCAGCCCTAACGCTGACAGGACTGGACTTGCTGAAGAAAAGAATATTCATCACTTTTCTTTGTTTATGCACTTTCTTTAGGTCTGCTCGCAATATTTAAGCTCATTTCGACCTGCTGCTGTTCTTCAGATCAGTACTCTGTTGATGACCAAATTTGGGTCAAGATTCAGCTGACGAACAGATCCAAAAAAATTAAGTTTACAAAAATCAACTTGCTGAAAAGAAGGTATTAAAGGAATAGTACACCCAAAACATGATTAGCCTTCATTTTCTACTCACCCCCATGCTGAACAACACTCTGGAGTACTTTTTTGATATCTCAAATGCATCTGGAGATCTGGGAGGCTTCTTGCTGTCTGCTGACATTCAAATATTGGAGGTCCATAGCGCCCTAGGCAGAAAGGTCCATAAAAGTCCACAAAAAACGTGTCAATATTCCTCCATACTACTCGTCCAATGTATTCCAATTGTCCTGAGTGGGTAGCATCCAGAATTTACTCGAAACGAAGTCATTTAGAATGTTTTTAGAGCATAAACAGTAGTGTATAGGATTTCCTGAAAGCGCGCACCTGCGAGTTCACGACTCTATGGAAACCGCGGCAGACCAAACCAGACGAAAGTGCGCATTCAGCGTCTGCTCTGCCGATAATGCAAGCGTAGAAGAAGAAATGTGCTCTTTACCTGTGCAAAGAAAGAAACAACGAAAGAAAAATGTCTGAGGACTTCAGTGTTGAGGAAGATGATGAGTTCTTTGCCGAGCTGAATGCGCACTTTCATCTGGTTTGGTCTGCCGCTGTTTCCGTAGAGTCGTGAACTCGCAGGCGCGCGTTTTAGGAAATCCTACACACTACTGTTTAGGCTCTGAAAAAAACATTCTAAATGACTTCGGTTCGAGTAAATTATGGACTCTACCCACTCAGGACACTTGGAATACATTGGACGAGCAGTATGGAGGAATATTGACACGTTTTTTGTGGACTTTTATGGACCTTTCTGCCACGGGCGCTATGGACCTCCAATATTTGAATGTCAGCAGACAGCAAGAAGCCTCCCAGATCTCCAGATGCATTTGAGATATCAAAAAAGTACTCCAGAGTTTTGTTCAGCATGGGGGTGAGTAGAAAATGAAGGCTAATCATGTTTTGGGTGTACTATTCCTTTAAGAGGTAGTCAACTTTGACTTACCTGAGAAGGTAGAAATGTCAGCGCATACTCGATAAGAAGACGCATTAATCTCTTTGAGTAGAAGATGAATTCATCACGGCTGGTCTCCTTGTTCCTGCGGTGGAGCAACATTAAATGTCTTTAGACCTTTACAGGCACAGTAGGAAGGATTTCAGGCTTCATATGACTGCATGTTTTACTACCTGATGATGGTGTGAAGGCCTCGGACCTGTGGCGTGCTTTCCAGCACACTAAGAGTCTGAGGCAGCGGCTGAGTCTGTTGAACAGAGGCCAGTAGTGCTCTGAGAGGGAAAAAAAGGTAATGTTAGACAATCCAACTCCAGCTACAGGTTTGGGCTTCAATATGGCTTCTTAGTGATTGATTTCTTGATTTTTTTCCAAGGGTGAAAAGATCAATCAAGATCAATGAACCTTTAAGGCATGAAACTGGCGTTAAAAGAACTCTTTTGTTTTCTGAATAATACAAGCACAATTTGCAAAATGCTCACAGGATTCGGACCAGGACTTTAGAAAGGCCATTCCAGAAAGTTAACAGCAGCATTTTAAAATTAGTTTTTAAACTACTACTATTTGCAAATTTATAGGTATAATATATCTTGAAGAGGTTCCAGCTGTCTGAAGGAGATTGAGTTGGATGTTCAGAAGCAACCAAGTCCCTCAGAAGAAAAACATTAAGGGTCGGACAAAATAAAAACTGTGATATTTATAGATGCTGGAGATCGGCCTGTTTTCCAGTGTAGTCCTGTTTCTCTGACCGTAACTGGCTGGATGTGCTCTCTTCATCCTCTGGCATGGGAGCCGGCTCGGAGCTCGACTGCCTGGCTGTGTGTCTCCTGGATGGGGCCGCCTTTTACAGCTGCTTTTTGTGTCTCTGCTTCTGTCTCCTTGAACCCCAGTCGGCCTCAGCAGATGGTCGCTCACACTGAGCCTGGTTCTGCTGGAGGTTTCTTCCTGTTCAAAGGGAGTTTTTCCTCTCCACTGTCGCTACAAGCATGCTTAGTGTGAGGGATTGCTGAAGAGTCAATGAGTCGATGCAATCAACTGGTTTTCCTTAGATAGAAAACTTTGTATCAATTTGACTGTATGATCTGGTTGAACTGTAAAGTGCCTTGAGATGACATGTGTTGTGAATTTGGCTCTATATAAATAAACTGAATTGAATATTGGGTGAAACTTTCAAATTTAAAAACAACATCATTACAAACAATATAGCAGCTTTTAAATATGGAAGCATTTGCATCAATCAGGAGGACTGTAAGGGAAGAAGAAAAAAGGACTGACCAAGAAGTAGGAATAAAAGACTCTTAAAACCTGGTTTTAGAGAATAAAAGCGACATCAAGTTTCTGCAAGGGCCTTTTCTTAGTCCTACCATCAATACTACTGAAAGTTTAGAAACTATGCATAAAGTCTGTGCCTTTAAAATCGATACATTTAAATAAGCGTTAAAAATTCTGATATTACAGGATGAAGGCACAACTTGCAAAGGGGAATTTAAGAAAATACTACTATACAGAGAATAATACTATAATACAGAGAGGAGTCAAGTTTTGGGTTGTTGGGGATTTTAAAATAGGTATCAGCGTACCTGACACTGAGCTCACGCTGCACAAAGAGAAAAGAAATCAATTGAAAAGAACAAGAAAGTTGAGAAAGGGAAGAAAAGACTTTGTTAGGCCTTTTTATGTTTCCTTCCCTCAAAAATCCATAGTTAATACATACCTTTATAAGACGCCTAAAGACATGTTGAATATATTAAAAAGAACAAGTCTAATTCTGATGAAGGGAAACTTTCTCAGTCTAAACTTCAGATTGTTTGTATTCATACTAATAAAGGAAAATTCTGTCAGTTCTAAATAGTTTTGTTTTTATTTATATAGAGAAAGCTAAACCATCATTTGAATATTTTTTGTTGAATATATTCTGTTTTTCTCTTAATTCATTTACTGACATGAAAACTCTTTCATTTAATTAGCAGCAAGCTTTAGTATTTTTAAAGCGTAAAACAATAAAGTACAAAAAATATATAGACAGGTCCTGAACTTTTAGGAAAACCCATCTGAAAGTTGAAGGTGATCTTTTTTATTTTGCATACTTGTACATAATATCAATTGCTGATATAGTCTAATGAACTATAAATGTTTGATACATAAACTACTGTATATATGTATAGTACATAAATATAATCCTGTGATCTGGATCACCACAAAACAGGCTTACATCAAAGGCAACAAGGCCTTCACTCAGTTTTTCCTGAAAACGTTTCGACACCTATCCTGAAAAAAAATAAATAAAATTTATGTAAACTGAGTTCAAATCTGTTTTGTGGTTACATAAATAAATATCTATTTAATTTTTGTTATTATATAAAGTAGTCTGTGTTAATTCTGCTTATTTGCCACTGATTCATAATTTACATTTTCTGTTCTAGAGTGACGCTTTCCATTCGCTTCTATTAAAATCCCTCAAAAAAAATCTAAGTTTAATTGCTTCATGTGTAAAAAAAATAATAATTTCCATCTAGTCCATAGCAAAATCTACAAATTTCCACTTTCACAATGAAGAAAAAAAATCAACTATTTAAATGTCATTTTAATCATTTTGATTTTACTTTACACAGAAATAAAAGTTTAAAAACAGAATTTCTGCCAAATTTATGAACAGAATTCGATAATACACCCATTTAAATAAAAGAAATGACATAAAAAGGATTTGCAAAAATCAAAACTAGCCTTTTAGAAGCTCTGTAAATAAATATTTCTAGAGGTTGCTAAGGACTGAAGTTAATAATAGTAAAACATAAGTTGATACTCAATAACTAAATGGGAATATTTAAAATAACTTTTTTTTTTTCCATTTTAGAGTCACATGTTATAAAAGTGAAATAAATAATATAAAATTATATATAAGCCTGTAAATTACATCTATTGAACACAAGGTGGGGCCACATACTAACCTCCTCCAGCTGGCTGTGGACGTGCTGAACTATCAGATCAATGGCCACCATGTTCCCACCACCTTTAGATAGAGCAAATTAAGATAAATATGGCATCAAGGTGTTTCCTGCTCAGAGGGTCTGCAGCGTTGCTCACCTCGAGGTACGACGATGTCAGCCAGCCTCATGGTCGGCTCGATGTACTGCTCAAAGGCAGGCTTCACAAACTTATTGTACTGCTTGATGACGCCTTCAATGTCCCGGCCGCGCTCTGTGATGTCCCTGCGGAGCCGGCGGACGAGTCGAATGTCTGAGTCTGTGTCGACAAAGATTTTCATATCCAAGAGCTGCAGACGGGGGGAGAACAAGAACCCAATGAGGGCTTCAATCAAGTCAAGTTCAGCAGAGCGGCTGCACTACACAACAGCTTCTGATTACTTCAAAAAAATCTTCAGATGTGGAGGAATGAAAGATCTGCTGCCGTACCTGAAGAAGCTCTTTGTCTGCAAAAGACATAATTCCCTCAAATATGATAACACTGGCCCCATACACATTTTTCTGAAGAAAGAGAAGAAGAAAAAAGTCTGAGGAAAAGATAAAAGCAGCAGTGGGTCTCTGTAGGAAAGCTAGTAATTTCAATTTACTTCTTTAATATTCATTTTGATATTTTAGCCTTCCACCCAGCAGGCTCTACTTTATTTCTCTTAAACCCATAAAAAGCATACTAAATCTAGTTGTTATACCCAAAATTATGCTTTAACGAGTAATCAAGGCTAACATGTACCCAGTCTTTCTGTCTCCTGTGTGTGGTGAAATCGTACACTGGAATCTTCACGCTCTTTCCCTGCTTGAGCTTTCGCAGGGTGGACACCAGCAGCTCGAAGTCGAACGCCCCAGGGTGGTCAAAGTTGTAGTCGTTCTTTGCTGCCAGGAGCTGCTTCTCTGGAGATAAGACCTGGAGCGGACACAGCATGTGGCATCAGAAAAATTTCTGACTCAGAGGAGGCTTTTATCATACGCTGTGAGGTCTCATAACGATAAGTAGCTGCTTTAATTTGTAAATAACTTCTTGCTTTTGGATAAATTCAGCATCTCAGCCTTTTCTGTCATGGCCTCTCAGTAGAGCGTTGGTTAATTATTTATAAATCTCGAACCTTTCTGCATTGTCACAAAATGGATTTGGATCGGATCTCATGTCATAAATCAACACTAAATAATGTACATTAAGGGGCAGAAGAAAAATGTAACGCTGTGGAAAAACCTTTCAATGCAACAAGTCACATAGTATATTTGTAGCATATCTCCAGTAGTTCTAGCCCATTATTATTTTCAAAATTCCTGAAACAAAGTAGCGAAAAAATCATCTGCAAACAGCATTTGTCAAATTTTGTCATGAATAATGTTGGGATTTAGGTCTGAACTTTGACTTGGCCATTCTAACACAAAAGCATGCCTGGATTCAATCTAGGGCGGAAACAATCAATCAGATTAATCGTGATTAATCGATTATTGAAATAATCATCAATTAATTAAGTAATCGATGGAATGGAATATAGACAATCTAAAAAATGCCTTTTGCTGACAGAGCAACCCATTTAGAGCACTAATTATACCAAAACGTACAAAATTTGCATTTGCATTTAAAATAAAACATTTTCATCTGTCAGTATGCTCTATCCAGGACTCCACACATGGAAAAGTTTTACTTTCACCTGATTTAATTTCTTAAGCAGTCTTCTTTAAGGAACCTTTGGCTGTCATAGTACTGATCGATTCATCCAAAAAATTATCAACAGATTAATCAGTCTGCAAAATAACCGTTAGTTGCAGCCCTAATCCAAACCATTCCTCTTTTTCTCTGGCAGTATATGTTTCGTCGCTCTGTTATAAATTGAACTTCTGCTAATGTTTGGAGTCTTTTTCTTCTTTCATTATTTAGCCTCATCTGTATTCCAGTCAACCGTGACAAACTTTGCTGTTTGTTTAGAAGATAAGCACCCCCACAGGGTAATGCTACCACTACCATGTTAATAGCTGTGCATTTTGGCCAGCAATACTCAAACTGAATCAGACTGTCATTGTGTTTAACTGAAAAGGAGATTTCTAATGAGTTATACTTTTCATTCTTCCTTATGGCCCAGATTACTGATTGATTGATTGATTGATTGATTGATTGATTGATTGATTGATTGATTGATTGATTGATTGATTGATCTCACAGTGGAGAAATTTACTCATTACATCAGCTCAAATAGTCAAAGGAGAAGAATGTGCAAAAGGAAGAAAGATGGATGGGATATGTTGGAGCCGTTTTGCATCTCTTTAGATTTTTTTCTTCTGAATTTATTATGAACTTATTCGCATTCTAATTCTCCTGATTTAGTTTTGAATCTTTAGTTGGAAATATGTCTGTTTTCGTTCTGATTTGTTTATTTGCTCTCTTCCTGTCTGTGGGCGTGACGTTGAGCTGATTTGATTAATAGGTGCTGTCACCTGCCGCTCAGGTAGAGTGGAAGGGACAAACAGTTTTTCAACCGCGTGATGCGGGAGCGCTTTTGTTTTGTACGTTAGTGAAAGACAAATAAATGCCTCAATTTTTCGAAGACGCGCGTTGGATCTGATCTATATTTCCACTCTGAAGCGGTGGCTCCGAAGTTGCCACTACAGGATATATATACAGTATATACAGTGCATCCATATATGACAACCTTTTTTTTATTATAGTAAGATAATTATATAGTTTTATTGCAAAGGGTGTTAACATGGGATTTTATTGTATATAGATGGATGTCAAATATAGAGAAACAGGTTATTGGACAGGGTATCAAATAGTAATTGCACATTATACATTGCAAAAGTTATTTATTTTTTTAGTGTTGTATTACAGAGTCTGGATTAAATGCAAATTAAGTCTCTAATTTAGTCTGGATCTAGATTAGAGTCTCATCACCACACAGATGGTCTAATTAGGTGACTTCTGGAAGAGGTTGGTATCCATGGATTTTATTTTTGGATATTACTTTAAAAGCAGCTGATAACCGGTGCATACTTTTCAGAGCAAAATACTTTTAAAACCTCTTCACAATTTAGCATGACTTTGTGTTGATCTATCACACAAAAAAAAAAGAAACAATAGTATGGATGGTTTTCTAATTCTCATGTTCAGACAGCCCTCACACCTAAATGAACATGTTTTTTTTTTATTTTTGCAATCTCTACTAGAGTAATAATGAACGATAGCAGAATGGTATTCATCTGTATTTATTGAGCCCCTTTAGAGTTCATAAACTATTTATAGTTAATTGGTTTCAGCTACATTAAAACTGTACAGAAGAAAAGAAAATCATGACATAGGTTTAATGGTTTGTTCCTGTCTAAATTTCAAAAGGAGGATTGTCTTGTTTTGTGCTCAAAAGCTGGAAGATTAATAAAATGTCTCCTTATAGAAATTATAGAAATTAAAAGCAAAAGAAAAAATAAGCGTGCATGGTAAACTCACCTTGTAGAAAGAGTCCATAGACAGCAGCACAACCCAAGGCACATCCAGGGCCTCAATGATTTTATTGGCTACGGTGGTTTTCCCTGAGGCACTTCCCCCACACAGCCCTGCAGACAGAAATTCAAATACATAGAATCTGTGTACCTAGAGTAGAGTATCCAATGTCTGGTGGTACTGTATGCATGAGTGAATGTTTTTAAGTGTTCATGATATAAAGAGGGAAGGTACAAAGAGATGGATCCTGCAGATCAGAGCAACAACATGACCTGAATATAGAGAAAACAAACATTGTCATACCAATGACAAAGGCCTCCTTTGACTGAGCTCCATGCTCGTCATACCAGGGAGGGCGGCCGGCGGTGTAAATGGTGCGCGTGCCTGTGCGGAGCAGAGGGGGCTCTGTTTTACTCAGCGTGGTGGTGCTCTTCCTGCGGGGGGCCCCGGCATGAGGCAGGAGCCGGTCCAACGAGTCCTCCCCACTCCCACTGCAACACAGCAAACCGCCGGGCAGGTCACAGCCTGATGCAGACATGATGCACAAGGAGCTGAAACACTCCTGTTTACCAGATCAAATCAGCACCAGGGCTAACATCTTCACAATCGATGGGAGAATTTATGAAATGTGTTATGAGAGGTTTGCTTCTGCACAGCTTTGACTTTTTTTTTTAACATTTTACTTCATCCAAACATTTCATGAAATTATAAAGTGAGCTTTTATCATTTCTATGGCTCCTGATATGGGGACATCGCAGCTAGAATAGAAATTATCAGATCCAGATGCTTTTATCAGGGAAATCAAGGATGGAGGAGTTTGCAGGATATAACTGCTACTCAGGGTAAAAGAGTCAAAGCCTATAAAAAAAAATGATTCAACTAATTTGCTTCCCAAAGCAGACAGAGACACCAGCATTCCTTTATAGGCCTGTAATTTCTCTCCTAGCTGCTGTGACATCATTTTATCTAATTTCCTCTTCAGTTTCCTGCAATAGATGTTTCTGTTTTCACATAAGAAGATCTTCTCTAATGACTTCTGCTCGTTGTAACCCCAGCTTGTTATTTGCATCATGTCAGAATTATTTTTTTTTTCAGAAATAGACCAATCCACACAGAATCCAATAGAGACTGAAATTAAGACTTTTAAGCTGCTTGTTCTTCCTATGAGCTTCATAAAATGCTTTTTAATTGATGCCTCTTTAAAAAGAAAAGCTTATATCTATGTATGATATTTGCATAAAACAGATCCTTAGACTTATTTTCTATTCTGGTAAGAAGGATTTTACAAATACAAATATTTTTTTCCACGATTATCCAAACCTGGAAATGCTGCAGTAAATTTCCAGTCGGAACTCTGCGCTCTACATAGATAGATTTGAGGACTCCTCGGGTCGCAGCTACACATTCTATATGTGCATACAGAATGAGGCAAGACGTGAATGGAAATGAGGACTAATGACTGTTTTCAATCAGTAACTCTGATGCAGAGCCAAATTATAGCAGCTCTCTCACCCAAATCCCTGCAAACCAAACCAGATCCTGCACTTCCCCTGACCTCTGAACACACCCCGCTTAGAAACTATTTAAAGCCCACATGCATACACAACCACAGTGGGTATATAAAAAAAAAAAAAACTCAGGGAAGCATTCCTCCCACCTGTGATGAGTAACAGCAATGATCAGTCAGATCTTACCTGCGGTCAGTTCTCAGTGACCAACACCCGGAAATTCTGGCTCCAGTGCAATCAAGCAGAGTCATATCTGATCCGCATGACATCCTGCTACCTTTTCGCTTGGCCAGTAACCGTGGTAACCTTTCTGAAACAACAATAGGTGGACCCAATGCTGTGGTGGAACTGGTATACTCTGTGTGTGAGCTACAGGTCTGTTTGTTGCCGGCTTTCACTCATGTGTATCTGTGAAGCCTGAACTATCACCTGTAAGCCTGCTCCACGCTGCTGCCAAAGCGTGGGACACTAAGAGGATCACACCATCGGCAAAGAGCCGCTTGGCTGGTATTAATAGAGACACCTGTAGACACAAGGACGACGAGATGCACTTTACCCATTGATCCGCACTCTGTGCTCAATAATCTGTTGCACAGAAAACTTCATTACAAAGGCAAATTTTCAAAAACCGCTCCGCATCTCAACAATGGAGCTGGAGTAATTTGGTTTTTAATTTCACAGTGCAAACAATCCAGCAACCTCTCTATAATTTACACTTGGAGATTATAGAAAGGCTCTCCACAACTTTCCTCCCAGGAACCAAAGCACAAAACCCTCAGAATATGCTTCCTCTCAATAACAAGCTAAAACACAAGCCATTGTATGAAGAAGGAACACAAACAGTAGAGCAGTGACGCGTACAAATATAGATTGTTTTAAGAGGTTTGTTTACAAATATAGATGCAGAGCTGTTAAAGAATAATTCTGAAAATAAACAACAGCCACACTTCTCGATGTAGCTACATATAGTTGTGTCTACTATATCATGATCTGAATGGTATACACATATTTATATATAAGCTTATGTCAAAATCCACCAGCAGAACATGTATTTTATTTCACCTATTAACCACAACACCCTGTGTGATGCTACCTCCACTGTTTATATGTAACAAACTGCAAAGCTTACAGATTTCTACCATTTACTTTGTTAAATATCAACTCCTTAATCACTTCCGTGTCCAAACATACCTTGTTTTAACATGTTCACCATATGATGTCCTAAACAATAGGTCTGCAACTTTTAAAATCTAAAAAACTATTTCTGCCTTCGGTCCAGCTGAGAAAATGAGTTTGGGGCTGTTACTGTTTATTTGCTTCAACACCTTTTTTTTATCTTCACTTGATTTTATTCTGCTTTTTATCTTCCTTCTATGTATTTTTAGCACTTTGAAATGCACTGAATTGGGCTGTATGAATAAACTTACCTTGCCATTAAGAAAGCACACATGAAAGATAGGTCTAATAAAATATTACTTTTATTTTGGCAATCATTGGAGGACATAGGGACCCCTATTTCATCACTCTGCTTTATTCTATCTCTATTCTCCCACTCTGCAGAATCTATTAGTTCAATCTCTAACGTTATGCTCTCTCTGCTTTTTCTCATAGTAGCTTCACCTCGTCTATTCCTGTTTAGCTGTGACTCCACCCTGGAGAGAAATATCAGCTGTGCTGCTGCCATAGACACCTTCGTTTATACATATTCGAGATAGGCCTGTTTTTCAGTGTAGTCCTGTTTCTCTGTCTGTGACTGCCTGGATGTGCTCTCTTCATCCTCTGACATGGGAGCTGGCTCAGAGCTCATCTGTGTGACTCTTTGTTTCCTGGCCTTTTACAGTTGCCTTTTTGTATCTCTGCTTCTGTCTCCTCGAACCCCCGTCACTGAGCCTGGTTCTGCTGAAAGTTTCTTCCTGTTAAAAGGGAGGTTTTCCTCTCCACTGTCGCTGCAAGCATGCTTAGTGTGAGGGATTGCTGAAGAGTCGATGCAATCAACTGGTTTTCCTTAGACAGAAAACTTTTATTAAATTTGACTGTATGATCTGGTGAACTGTAAAGGGCCTTGATATGACATGTGTTGTAAACTGGCGCTATAGAAATAAACTGAATTGATTTGTGGCAATTTAATGCAATTTTTCCTTTTAATAATAAAATACTATATGTAAAAACTGCTAAAATCAGAAATGGCTATTTAAAAAAAGGCTGTTTCTTCTTTTTCAATAAAAAATGTAGGTTTGAAAACCGTGAAAGCTGAAATAGTCAGCTAAAGCCTCTTAGAGCGATCTAGAGGTTTCCTAATAATCTATGTGCTGATGAAGGTTCTCAACAAAACAATCCCTTAAAGCACTGCAGAAATATGCAATATGAACAGAAATATTTTTCATAATCTTGGAGATGTTCCACTATATTAGTCCATGCAACATACTATGAAGATTTTTATTATAGGAAAAAAAAACTTTTAGCTGACTAAAAATTTATTATGAGAACATTCAACTAAACAGAAATGTTTCCTATGCGGACCTTCAAACCAAAAGAACAAAGTATCTTCCTATCCCATCTTCTGGTAATCTGTTTTTATGCAGGAAGATGCAGTAGAAACTGAATTATAAGGGCAGGGTGTGAAGAAAACTGCTCTGTTTTAAGAAAAGGGTTCCTGAATTGTAAATGTGCCTTTACATGATCTCTTTAATTTAATAATCTATGACGTAGACGGTGACGCCATACATCACCTACTTTTGATTAACTACATGCTTAACACATAATTGCGCTGTTAAACGAACCCAAAATGATACACTTATTTATTTACAGCAATAATTACGTTTAGGGAAATATTTGTATTTACTTTGTTTAGATACAGAGCAGTTAGCGAGCACGTCACGAGCGCTCAGGGTTATATGACTGGGTAAACAGCCCGCTGCGGCATGGGTCCAAATAATAAACAACCAACGCTTTTTTTTCTGCCTACGCAGTTTAAAAACAGGTAAAAACACTGGTAGTATGGAGTACCTGTCCGAACGGGACGTCATTATTTGCAACCCCTCTGCATCCGCCGGAGTCCTGCATCGGCTGTAGTCTTGAATGGAGTCTTGCTCTGACCCGTAGGGGATTGTGGGTAATGTAGTCATTATGTCTGCCCCCTTCCAGATCTCTCCAAACTCTCACAAAAAAGGCGCTTATATTTCAATAGTTTAATTTAATAATTAAATGTTGACATAAAAAAATGTTTAGACAGTCACGAAATAACATTTTGACATGAATATAACAACCAAGCAGATAAACAGTACAATGCTGAATAAGATTGTCATGAGGCATTTTCATCACAGTCTGTAAAGGTTTTGTTTCCTTCATGTGTTGTCGATGGTCCTGATAAATAACATTATTCTGGATTCACTGCGAGATGGATGGATTTATTCCACAAGTTTGATTCAGCTTCAATGAGCTTCGATGGTCCAGAAAGTCCAGTTCTTTTCTGTTAAGATATCCTTCCAAATGTACCTAAAGTGGAAAAACAGAAATAAACTAAATTTAGAACAGTCAGGTTTTGTTTATCTTTCAAGCATCAAATAAGACCAACATCCCTCTGTCTCCCAGACAGCTGCTCCTTATTTCTTCCAGGCAGAATGACTGGAAACAGCTGGGATGGCTTCATGCACAAAGGAATATCCAAAAGAACAAGGCTTTTAACATGTTAGAGCTCGCTGGGAAAAAAAAAAAACTGTGTCAAAACAAAAGAATAAAAACAACAATTTGCTGTCATCGAAAAAGAGAGCCGGCTTCTCGGGAGTTGCCAGGGAACAGACAGAAGACAATTCAGCTCATTATCTTTATTAAGAGATTCAATAAAGCCAGAGAATGAAAAGTGAGCTCTATTAACTGTTCTCTTTTTACAAAATTGGCTTGTTTTCATTGTACTAGTTATATCCAGCTAAGCTAAACTGACCAAGTATTTTTAATCAAAAGAGTGTTCAGGTTGTGTTGTTTTCCTGGCTAGTCCATGCATTAAAGAGATCATGTAAAGGCACATTTACAATTCAGGAACCCTTTTCTTAAAACAGAGCAGTTTTCTTCACACCCTGCCCTTATAATTCAGTTTCTACTGCATCTTCCTGCATAAAAACAGATTACCAGAAGATGGGATAGGAAGATACTTTGTTCTTTTGGTTTGAAGGTCCGCATAGGAAACATTTCTGTTTAGTTGAATGTTCTCATAATAAATTTTTAGTCAGCTAAAAGTTTTTTTTTCCTATAATAAAAATCTTCATAGTATGTTGCATGGACTAATATAGTGGAACATCTCCAAGATTATGAAAAATATTTCTGTTCATATTGCATATTTCTGCAGTGCTTTAAGGGATTGTTTTGTTTCAGAATTTAGCTTCTATGCAGGAAAGAAAAAACTCTATCATAGGGTAGTGGGCTGTAAAGAAGATATGCTCTTAACCAAAGATTGGAATTAACGAAGTACAAATACTTCGTTACTGTACTCAAGTAGATTTTTCTGATATTTTACTTTACTTTACTACTTATTTTTATGGCGACTTTTTACTTCTACTCCTTACATTTTAACACAAATATCTGTACTTTCTACTCCTTACATTTAAAAAAAAACTTGGCTCGTTACTTTAGTTTTGAATAATTTCAATGGAGTTACCGTTATTATTTTTCACGTCATCAATACCAAATTCAATCTAATTGGATGGGAATCTACGTTGCATTTGACGCACCACTACAAGATGAATCGACAGATTCGGCGGTATTCATTCATGGCAAATCATTGCAGCTTGGTGGCGGTGGCGTTAGCATCGTAGTATGGACGACGAGATGATTGAAAATGAACACAACGGAGATCTAGTCCTATTGGCAGACATCCATTTAAAATGTAGGCAACGGCATGAAAAAAGTGGTTTTTACTTTTACTTTAAGTAAATTTACAAGCCTGTACTTTGTTACTTTTACTTGAGTAAAGAAGTTTAATCAGTACTTCCACTTTTACCAAAGTATTTTTTAACCCAAGTATCTGTACTTTTACTCAAGTACGGAAAGTGAGTACTTTTGCCATCTCTGCTCTTAACTCTTCAGCTGCATTCACTTTGCACTAAATAAAACACAGTGGATCAACATCAGAAAGTCATCACCAACAGTGGAAATAGACTTAATCTGAAAAAACATAGCATTTCAGAGAACTTTGGGATAGACAAGACATAGCATGATTTTTTTTTATGAGTGCCTTTATACAAAGAGCAGAGCAGTTGCAGCCTGAATATATGGCTCTGGTACCTCAGACAGTTCCCGTTTTAACCCTTTTAAGCCTGATCCAAGAAAAACACAAAATAGAAAATTACTTTTTTTTTGTTTGAATTCCTTATTTGGCCTTTTAACAAAATATATAAAA